AGCCCTTTCCCATTTCAGCGGCCTCCTTCTCAAATTTTTCGATGGTTCTTTTGTCGATCCCACCACATTTGTAGATCAGATGGCCAGTAGTGGTGGACTTGCCCGAATCTACGTGTCCGATGACGACGATGTTGATGTGGGTCTTTTCCTTCCCCATTTTGGCTTTTATGGGTGGTTTTCACGGCACCTGTGTTCTGGCGGCAAACCCGTTGCGAAAAAAAAAGCTATACCTTTGTTTTTTAATGCATCAATGTTAAGTATCTGTTAACTTACCACTAAGGAGGATAAATTTAGATATATTTCCCTTTCTTCCTAGATGCCTCCTAATTTTTTTACAGGAGGGCTTACATTGCTGTTTCTTGTTCTTTTTATTTGACACGATTTTCAGGAGGTAGAGAAAGGAAAGCTAACCTTACACCTCCATCTTCTCTGTCATTTCCTTTTACCCTATCCTTTCATTTTGAAAAATTTCTAACTGACAGAAAAGTTGAAAACATAGTACAATGAACACACATAGACCCTTCACCTAATTTAACCAATTTTAACATTTTGCCACATTTGCTTTTTCTTTCTCCTTCTTTGCCTTTTCCTCTTCTTCCCCCCTCAGCTTTTTTGTGTTAAATCATTTGAAAGTGAATTGCAAGCATGATATCATTATCACGCCTAAGAAAAGTAACATTAATTCAATGTAATCTAATATATAATTTATATTTGAATTATCCCAGTTTTTAAAAATTATGTCTTTTTAAAGTAAATGTCTGAATTTATCTGATTGTTTCCTCTTGATTAGGTTCCATTTAAACATTTTTGGTGGTGTTTGATCCCAAAACTTGCTTTATCAAATTTGCTTTCCTTCTCTTTGTACATTTGAATATATGCATTTATTTTTTTTCCTGAGTTTTTGATAGTAAGTTACATACATCATGGCTCTTTCTTTACCTCTAAGTGCTTCAGTGTGTATTTCTAAAAATGAAGATGTCTTTCCATCTTTTAGGTCTACTTTTATGTCCTTTAGGGTGCTTTATAGTTTTCTTCATATAGGTTTTGCAAATTTCTAAAGTCTGTTCCTAAATATTTTTTTGTTGTTGTAAATGAGTTTTCTTATCTGTTATATCTTCTAACTGGTTGTTTTTTGTATATGTGAACACTATTGATTTTTGCATGTTAACTTTATATTCTGACATCTTGCTGAAATATTTTATAGTTTCAGTTACTTTTATCACAGATTCTCTAGGGTTTCCTCATTAAGAAAGATGCTGGCTTTACATGTATATGTAGTCTATGGTGTTAAGCAAATATCCATCTATATTAATTATCCATTGCTGCTTAACAAATGAACTCAAAAGATAATGATTTAAAAGAATAAACACTCAGTTATATGGTATTTTCTGAGGCCCCAGACCTGGCTTAGCTGGATGCCTTTGTCTACAATCAAGGTTGTTGGCAAGGTCTGTGGTCTCATAAGAAGACTCAACTGAAGAAAGATCCTCTTCTATATTTACTTACATGGTTGTTGGCAGGATTCAATTCCTTATAGGCTGTTGAACTAAAGGACTCAGTTTCTTACTGGCTTTTAGCAAGAGGACTTCCTCAGTACCTTGCCACTTGGTCTCTTTATAGGATAGCTCATAACATAGCAACTGGCTTCCATCAGAGTGAGCAAGCAAAAGAGCAAGAGGAAGTATAGAATAAAGAAACCACTGTCTTTTTCTAATCTATTCTTGAGAGTGGCAACCCATCACTTTTGCTGTATTCTGTACAGTAGAAGCAAGTCACTAGGTCTAGACCATGCTTGAGAGAAGGCCATGAATGCCAGATAGTAGAGATTAATAGCGACTATCTTGGGACTGCCTTGCCTTTCCTGTCATTGATTCTTGTTTTCCTAAGAATTTTATTAGTAATGGATGTGGAATTTTGTTAAAGGCTTTTTTAGACTTTAAAGAAAAAATCCTTGGGATCTTCAGGCAATAAGGTGAAGCAATCATGAAGTTGAAGACTGCAACATAATACTCCAAACTGAATTACATGTACAATGGCTGTTGAATTTTAGCTTAACAATTTTTTGCTTTAAGTTCTTTAAAGATACTGTTGACTGTCTTCTGAGTGGGACTCTAAACATTTTCTACATGTATGTAAGATGGCATTTTTCTGTGAGTGCTTTCATGATTTTTTTTATCACTGGTTTTCAACAGTTTGATATGCCCAGATATGATTTTCTTTATATTTATCTTGGAGTTTGCTGAGCTGTTTGAACCTGTGAATTTATTTTTTTTACCAAATTTGAAATATTCAATCATTATTTCTTCAAATATTTTTATGTACTATTTTTATGTACCTTCTCTTCTTCTTGGACTCATTGTGTGTGTGTGTATGTGTGTGTATTAGACCTGTTGATGTTATGTCATATGCCTCTGAGGCTCTATTCATGTTTCCTACAATCTTTTCTCATTCTGCACTTCAGCTTAGATCATTTATGTTGATCTGTCTTGATGTTCATTGGCTCTATCCTTTGTCATATTCATTCTGTTGTTCATCTTTATCCAATAAATTTTTCAGTTCTAGAATTTTCCTTTTTTAAAAAGTTTCTATTTCTTTGATTAGATTTACTATCTTTGTAATATAGGCATATTTTACTTTAGATCACTGGCATAGTTATAATAGCTACTTTAAAAATCCTTGTCTGCTAATTCTAACATCTGGGTTATCTTGAGATTCCCATCCATTATTTATCTTTTTGGTTCTTGATGATACATCACATTTGTGTGGATTTTCATATGTTGAATAATTTTAATTTTAGATTATATCCTGGAATTTGGAAATGTTATGTTTTGGAGATCAGAATCTGTTATATTCTCTCAAATAGTATTCATATTTTTGTTTTAGGTAGTACTTTACTTGGTTTGACTCAAACAATGTTTGTCTCTTGGAGGGTTCCTTAAATCTTAGTCCAGTTCTTTTATCTTTAGCTATATTTTCTTTCACATGTGTATGATTCTGGGGTGATTTAAGCAAAGTTTATACATAGAATTTGGGGTTCCCCTCCCTGGTTCTTTCTGGTATTCTCTCTTTACTTTCTCATGGCTGTGGTTGCCCTGAACTGTGTCCTCTGGTTCTTCAGGATAGGAAGACTGAAATTTTCTATCAGAATTTTAGCTACC